GCACCGGCGCGCGCAGCGTCAGCGGCGAGAAGTCCTTGGGCTTGGCCACGACGCGCAGGTCCAGCGTCTCGGTGGCCAGGCTGATGCTGCCGTCCAGGTCGATGCGGCTGTCGCGGTTGTCCATGATGGCGGTGCGCGGCCGCAGCACGCCGGCCGTGAAGCGGCCGTCCAGCCGCGCGCAGTGCAGTGGCAGGTTCTGGTCGCCCTTGATGAGCAGGCCCAGGCCCTGGGCCACGTCCAGGCCGACGGCTTCGGTGATCAGGTGCGAGACGCTGCCGTTCTCCACGCGCAACTGCAGCGGTCCGTTCAGGCTGCCGAGCAGCTCGGCCGTGCTGCGGCCGCGGCCCTGCACGTCGAGCTGGGCCTTGAGCTTGCCGGTGATGGGGTGGTGGGTCAGCGCCTTCACGTCGAACTTGATCCAGCGCTCCACGGCCAGGCCGCTGGCGTCCAGGCTGGCCTGCCATTGCGGCGGCGACGGCCGCGTGTCCAGCTTGGCGGAGCCGGTGATGGCACCACCGGCCACGCCGGCGTTGATCTGGCTCAGCGTCAGCACGCCGCCTTCCAGCGCCAGGCTGGCGTTGACGGGCGCCAGCGGCTCCAGGCTCGTGGTGCCCAGGTCGAGCTGGCTCAGCGCCACGTTCACCTTGGCGTCCATCGCGTTCAGCGCGGGCAGGTCAAGCGGCCGGTCGGGCAGCACGCGGCCGGGGCGGCTGGGCGGTGTGTCGGTACCGATGGCTGGGCCCAGGTCGGCCAGGCGCAGTGGCCCGCCGCGCAGCGTGCCGGTCAGCACGGAGCGCTTGGGGCGCGTGTCGAAGGCGAAGTCGCCGCCCAGGTGGCTCTTGCCGATGTTGGCGCGCACGCCGCCGAGCTGCCACACACCGCCGGCATGCTGCAGCCGGCCGGCGAGGTCGAAGGCGGGCGTCTGCGGCAGCGTGATGCCGAAGGGCCGGCCCACGGCGGCGAGCGAGCTGCCGCGCACCTGCAGCTGGCCGTCCAGCGCGCGGGCGTCCAGCAGCGACGAGGCCGTGCCGTCGAAGGACAGGCGCTGCGGGCCCTGCGTCAGCGACAGCTTCAGCTTGACGGGCGGCGTGCCGCTCTCCGGCGGCGAGATCAGCGCCAGGCCCGCACTGGCCTCGGCGTTCAGCGCCAGCTGCTGGTCGCGCAGGCGGCCCTTGACCTCGGCCTTCCAGTGGCCGTCGGCCTGCGTGCCGAAGCGCGCGTCGCCCAGCAGCTGCAGCGGCGCGTCGTCCAGGTGGGCGGTGCCGTTGTGGATGATGAGCTGGTCGATCTGCGGGATGGCCACCGGCTCGTGCGGCTTGTCGCCGCCGGACGACTGCAGCGGCCAGGGTGTGCGGCCTTGCGCGTCGCGCTGCCAGGTGAGCGACAGGCTCTCGGCCTGCACGAGGCGCACTCGCAGCGGCGCGCCGTGGCGCCAGTCCCAGATGT